AAAACACACGTCAGTGAAGTTGTCAAATCCTCCAGTTTCCGTCTCCACCTCCTCCGACGACTCAAGTCCCTCAGAGTTCCTGCGCCTGAGCTCCTCAGTGTTTACTTAACATTCATACTTCCCAAGCTAACCTATACCTCTCCTGCCTGGTCTTCCTCCTAAATGCCACACAACGTAAACGCCTACAAAAGGTGCAAAAGCGGGCATGCAAGATTATTCTCTCCCCTTCCTACTCCACATATCAAGAAACGCTCAACACACTGCCCCTCTCGGCTCTCTCTGACCATCACCACGACCTCATCTGCAAATTTGGTGAGAAGCTTCTGCACCATCCTCGACACCGGCTCCTACTACCAGCAGAGATCCCTCGTCCGAGAATAGCTGTTCGACACCACAACCGCATCCAGCCCATACGAGCACGTACTGATCGCTTTAAGAACAGCCCAGTCCCATCCATTGTAAAAATTATCAATGACTTGTAACCAACCAGTGTATTCACTCCCAGTCAATATTACCTTTTTGCACTGTCACTATGTTGAAATGCCCTGTAGTATGACCTTCTCCCCACCTAGTTAATATATACCGTATGTGTATAACTTATGTTACTTGTATATTATCTGTAAATCAAGAGACCCATTCCCCAATTATGTAACTGTATAATTTCTGCCTTCCGGCTGCCATGCTCTTTCAATAAACCGTTAATTATTATTATTAAAGGTTGCCCCCCGTGTAACGAGGATGGCCGACCCAAGGGCCACCTAAGCGTGAATTTGTTTAAGGTGAAGAAGCTGTCGCCAACACAGCAACCACACCCTAAGTTAACAAGCTGCATGACCAAGAAGACCGGACAACTCGTCAACTGCACTGGCTAACCATTACCCCGGAATATGATCCACAAATCGATTAGCATCCAGGTTCCCAATTTCTGCTGGGTAGACAGAAGCAAATGGCATAAACAAACTTGCCTATAGTTTCACCCTGCCCGGGGATCGAACCCGGGACCACTCGCTTGTGAGGCGAGGATGCTGACCACACACACAAAATTTTCTCCCCTCTGGAATGGGTGGATGGGTGCTCTCTCAATGTCTAATTGCTACCCAGGGCGATCCTGCAAGAAGAGGAGGAGGAAGTGTAGAAGATGGGAAGAGGGAGGAAGGAGGAAAGGGAGGGAGAGGAGGAGAGCAGGAGATGGGAGGGGAGATGGGAGGGGAGAGGAGGGAAAAGTGAGGGTGAGGCTGAAAACAGGGAAGGACAGAGAGATTCATACACATAAATCACAATAACTCTTCCATACAATACATATACACTATCCAGACAACAAACCCTGGAGATCATCTGGGTACTGTCATATCACCCTGGAGGTCATCTGGGTACTGTCATATACCCTGGAGTGGTCTGGAGGGCATCTGGTTACTGTCATATACCCTGGAGGCCATCTGGGTACAGATCATATACCCTGGAGGCCATCTGGGTACTGTCATATACCTGGAGGCCATCTGGGTACTGTCATTACCCTGGAACCATCTGGGTATTACACCCTGGAGGTCATCTGGGTACTGTCATACCCTGGAGGCCATCTGGGTACTGTCATACACCCTGGAGTCATCTGGTACTGTCATACACCTGGAGGTCATCTGGGTACTGTCATATACCCTGGAGGCCATCTGGGTACTGTCATATACCCTTGAAGGTCATCTGGGTGCTGTCATATACCCTGGAGGTCATCTGGGTGCTGTCATATACCCTGGAGACCATCTGGGTACTGTCATATACCCTGAAGGTCATCTGGGTACTGTCATACCCTGGAGGCCATCTGGTACTGTCATACACCCTGGAGGCCATCTGGGTAATGTTATATACCTTGGAGGTCGTCTGGGTACTGTCATATACCCTGGAGGCCATCTGGGTACTGTCATACACCCTGGAGGTCATCTGGGTACTGTTATATACCCTGGAGGCCATCTGGGTACTGTCATATACCCTGGAGGCCATCTGGGTACTGTCTACACCCTGGAGGTCGTCTGGGTACTGTCATACACCCTGGAGGTCATCTGGTACTGTCATACACCCTAGAGGTCATCTGGGTACTGTCATACACCCTGGAGGCCATCTGGGTACTGTCATATACCCTGAAGGTCGTCTGGGTACTGTCATATACCCTGGAGGCCATCTGGGTACTGTCATATACCTGAAGGTCGTCTGGGTACTGTCATACACCTTGGAGGTCGTCTGGGTACTGTTATATACCCTGAAGACCATTTGGGTACTGTTATATACCCTGGAGACCATGTGGGTACTGTCATACACCCTGGAGGTCATCTGGGTACTGTCATACACCCTGGAGGTCATCTGGGTACTGTCATACACCCTGGACGTCATCTGGGTACTGTCATACACCCTGGAGGCCATCTGGGTACTGTCATACACCCTGGAGGTCATCTGGGTACTGTTATACACCTTGGAGGTCATCTGGGTACTGTTACATACCCTGGAGACCATCTGGGTATTGTTATATACCCTGGAAACCATCTGGGTACTGTCATATACCCTGAGTCATCTGGGTACTGTCCTCTCCCTGGGCCTGGGTACTGTCTATACCCTGAAGTCATTTGGGTACTTTATATACACCTGGAGACCATCTGGGTACTGTTATACACCCTGGAGACCTCTGGGTACTGTCCTATACCTGAAGGTCATCTGGGTACTGTCATACACCTGGAGGCCATCTGGGTACTGTCATACACCCTGGAGGTCATCTGGGTACTGTTATATACCTTGGAGACCATTTGGGTACTGTTATATACCCTGGAGACCATCTGGGTACTGTCATATACCATGAGCCATCTGGGTACTGTCATACACCCTGGAGGTCGTCTGGGTACTGTCATACTCCCTGGAGGTCATCTGGGTACTGTTATATACCTTGGAGGCCATCTGGGTACTGTTTATACCCTGGAGAGCATCTGGGTGCTGTTATATACCCTGGAGACCATCTGGGTACTGTTATATACAGAGACCATCTGGGTACTGTTATACACCCTGGAGACCATCTGGGTACTGTCCTACTCCTGGAGGTCATCTGGGTACTGTCATACACCTTGGGCCATCTGGGTACTGTCATATACCCTGGAGGTCATCTGGGTACTGTCATACCCTGGAGACCATCTGGGTACTGTCATACACCCTGGAGGTCATCTGGGTACTGTCATTACCCTGGAGGCCATCTGGGTACTGCCATACACTGGAGGCCATCTGGGTACTGTTATACACCCTGGAGGCCATCTGGGTACTGTCATACACCCTGGAGACCATCTGGGTACTTGAACACCCTGGAGGTCATCTGGGTACTGTCATACACCCTGGAGTCACTGGGTACTGTCATCACCTGGAGACCATCTGGGTACTGTTATACACCCTGGAGGCCATCTGGGTACTGTCATTATACCCTGGAGGTCATCTGGGTACTGTCATACACCCTGGAGGCCATCTGGGTACTGTCATACACCCTGGAGACCATCTGGGTACTGTTATACACCCTGGAGGCCATCTGGGTACTGTCATGTCATTCCCTGTCATGTCATACCCTGTCATATACAAGAGACTATACCGGGTAATGTTAACATGAGTCACCAACACCAGGTCATGTTATACTGTACAGGGTATATATCAGTGCATAAATCACTTTAACATGACCCGAAAATAATATTAACACAAAGACTTAAGAGGAAGTGAAGTGTTAATCCTAAGAGAAATGTTAAGACTTTAAGACTTAAAAGACCAAAAAGACCTAAAATTAGACTAACAGCCGTACTTTTGAAACCAATTTTAGGTAAGTGTTGTTATTATGTCAACTGTTGCCACACCTATAATATAGAGGGGAGTTATTTTCTTTCACCCAACAGCGGTACTATGATGGCTATCACTGTCTGGTTCCTGTTACTGTCGGCTGTCATTTTAATCACACCTGCCTTCCACCGCAGACAAAGCTCCCGCATAACTGTTCCTTTGTCAGTGAGGCAGGGCCTGCTCCCATAATGTGGTGTTGGAGTTGGGGGAGAGGAGGGGTTTGCTCTTCCTCATGTATGGGTATAATCATACGGCCGTAACATCTAAAACTAACACGAAGTAAAACAAATAATAATAATAATAATAATAATAATAATAATAATAATAATAATAATAATAATAATAACAAATCAACTCGTATCAGTAAATATTAATTAGTGGTAACCTTTCACTGTCTCGGATATCCTTAATTAATTCCTACCTCATTACCAACAATATGATAATTAACAAGAGAACCAAGAGGATGAATTAAATATCCATCAGTCACTCAGATTCCTTTAATTAATTCTGATCATCTTTATTCCCATTAATTCTGGTCTATTCCATGGAGCCAGAATTAATTTTACTATGAGAATTAATTTGTAAGACATATATAATCTATTTAGGCTGGTGATTAATTCCAGCTAATTCTTCATTACCTGAGAATTAATTAAGACATGATGACATAATGAATTTAAATACCCTGATTATCTTAAGAATTAATAGAGGAACATAAAATCACATACAGAAAAATATTCACCCAAAATACCCAATAATTCTATCTAATTCTCGACCTTTCATTAACATTACTAATGCTGAGTCACCGTCCATCGTTAATGACATAGTAATTAATGAGAGGTGATTAACTCTCCTTAGAGGATGATATTTACAAGTCATAATGAACCCTCTTGTACTAATCGACCCCTGACCTGACCTGACCTGACCTGACCTGACCTGATTATGGGATTATATTAGGTTGGAGGATTTATCTGATGGATTCCAATACTTATGGTTAGGTTAGGTTAGGTTAGGTTAGGGAAGTAGGATTGGAACTACATGAATGGGTTCCAATCCCGATGCTTAGGTCAGATTAAGTCGGGGTCTATTAGGACTGGGGCCCAATCGGACTTGCATTCATGTTACTTATCACTACCAAAGACACACCCAGCAGTTACCTTCAAACGGTGGGGAGCCCCTGGTTGACCCTTCTGAGAATAAGGCGTCAGATCTTACCTGTAATAGAGAAAATACTACATTAGGAAGGAGACAGGTAATCACACACACACACACACACACACACACACACACACACACACACACACACACACACACACACACACACACACACACACACACACACACACACACACACACACACACACACACACACGGGTTATGTATTATTCTTACCCAATTTACTTACAAGGTCATAAAATATTTGACCCTAGGTATAACGAAGCCTGGTGACCTCATACAAAAATAAACCTTGACCTTAATACACATGACCCCTTGTAGAAATGACATTTGACCTGATGACCTGCAGGTTACTAGGTCAAAGGTCACAATATTACCATTTAAGTTATAATAGAGGGAGAGATTTACTGTTTATATAGCCCTTTATCTCTCTCTCTCCCTCCTCACCCCATTCCCATATCTCCTCCCTCACCCCCATATCTCCCTCCATCACCCCCATATCTCCCTCCATCACCCCCATATCTCCTCCCTCACCCCCATATCTCCCTCCATCACCCCATATCTCCCTCCCTCACCCCCATATCTCCCCTCCTCACCCCATATCTCCTCCATCTCTCCTCCATCACCCCCATATCTCCCTCCATCACCCCCATATCTCCCTCCTCACCCCCATACCTCCCTCCCTCACCCCCATCTCCCTCCATCACCCCTTTCTCCTCCATCACCCCATATCTCCCTCCATCACCCCCTCCCCTCCCTCACCCCCATATCTCCCTCCATCACCCCCTATCTCCCTCCATCACCCATATCTCCTCCATCACCCCCCATATCTCCCTCCATCACCCCCATATCTCCTCCATCACCCCATATCTCCCTCCATCACCCCATATCCTCCTCCTTTCCCCTCATCTCATCTATACCTTCAGAGGTCCGACCGCCGCCCTCACATCACCATTATTTCCCTTACTGCTCTGTGGTGGCGTTATCATCCTCCCTCACCCCATCTACGTATTTCCCTCACTCTTCGCCTTCCTCACTACCTAACCCCTCACTGCCCCCCCTCACTTCAACTTCTCTCCTCGCTGCACCTCCTCTTCCCGATTTTCAAGAAGGGAGATAGATCACTATCCTCTAACTACCGTCCAGTCAGTTAAACATCAATTATAGGCAAATTACTGGAAGCAATAATTTCAAATTTAGTTCGAAATCACCTGGAGAAGCACAAGTTGATCAATGATTCCCAATATGGCTTCACAAGCGGGCGTTCATCTCGGACAAATCTGTTAAAAAATTGTCATCTGTTTTTGAATCAGTGGACGATGGGCGCGATTATGATGTGGAATATCTCGACTTCAGCAAAGCCTTCGACAGAGTCCCCCGCGAAAGACTAATACGAAAAGTGGAGGCTCATGGCATTAAAGGAGATATTCTAAAATGGATTAGGGAGCGGCTACAGAACAGAAAACAGCGAGTGAGCATTAATGGCTCTTCATCCGAATGGAGTAACGTCACTAGTGGAGTACTTGGACCATTATTATATATTTTGGGCTCAAAGATCGAAAACGACCACAACGCGTTATGGATTGCTTTTCTTCAAAAGAACCAGAAAGCGAAATTTTGCGTCTTGGGTTTTGCCCAATAGATACAACTTAACCTAACAAACATAACCTAACCTGTAGCAAAATTTCGTTTCTCGCTATTTTCCAAACAACCACAACGCGTTGTGGTTAGTTTTACTCTTCCCAACATATACATAAACGACATAGATATCGGCGTAGACAGCAACATAAGTAAATTTGCTGATGACACTAAAATAGGACGTGTAATTAAATCTGACGAGGACTCCGCAAAACTACAGGAAGATCTAAACAAATTTTTCGAATGGTCTGAAAATGACAGATGAAATTCAATGTGGACAAATGCAAAGTACTTAGCATAAGAGATGTAAACAGGGAAACCAGATACCAGATGAACAACGATGTTATGAAAATCCGACTGAGAGAAAGATTTCGGAGTAATGATAAGTAGGAATCTTAAGCCAAGACAACAATGTGTATTTGCTCGAAACACGGCTAATAAAGTACTTGGGTTCATATAAAGGAGTGTTAGTTACAAGACAAGAGAGGTCATCCTAAAACTATATCTTGGGCTTGTGAGACCTCACTTGGATTACGCAGTTCAGTTTTGGTCACTGTACTGTACTACACAATGGATATAGAATCCCTAGAAAAAAGTCAGTGGAGAATGACAAGACTAATCCCGGGCATTAGGAACCTTGAGTACAGAGACAGGTTAAAGCATCTTAATTTGCACTCCCTCGAGAGACGTAGAGTGAGGGGTGATATGATAGAGGTGTATAAATGGAAGTCAGGGCTAAACAAAGGTGACATTACAAAGGCACTCACACTATCCAACCAGGAGCGAACTCGTAACAATAGTATTAAATTAGACAAATTAGATTTAGGCGCGAAATAGGTAAATATTGGTTTGGAAATAGAGTAGTGGATGAGTGGAACAAGTTACCTAATATCATCATTAACTCTAACCCTTCAGTACACAAGGAGGCAGCCTGGCCGACACTGTACTCGACCGCCTTCACTTCCTAAACTGTACAGTGAGGTAACCATTTACACTAGGTCGACTGTAAGTGGGACCGAACCAATGACCCCTTAGAGCATGAGACGTGTGCTGTATCCATTCAGCCACCGCACTAAGTTAAAAATAGACCCACAAATTACAGAGTCCTCAAATAAAAAATTATCCTTAACAAACTACCCCAGATCTGGTGTTCAAAATGGCGTCATAATAACACTAAGACTTTTGAAAAATTCGTAAGTTCAAATTTCCTTCTAATTCAGGGGTGAAAACGTATCTAATGGCTTCGCTTAACCCTTATAGCACTAAATTAACTACAAAATGGTGCTGGAATAACATTGTGATTCAACAACCCTTCAGGCAAAATGAAACAAGAGACTTAAATTGAAACACCACACACACACACACACACACACACACACACACACACACACACAGAATCCGACAAGAAATCTTCCAAAGTCAAATTCATTTTATCTCAGCTGGGGATTAGGGAGAGATTGTGAGGGATTAGGAAAAGATTAGGGATGGATGAGGAGGATTGGGTGACATGGGTAAGAAGTGAGGAGGATTGGGAGGAAATGAATGGGATTGTGTGGGATTAGGAGGGATTGAGAGGGATTGAGAGGGATTAAGAGGTAATTGAGAGGGATTGGAGGAGATTAGGGAGGTTGAGAGGGATTGGAGGCGATTAGGAAAGAATTGAGGAGGTTGGAGGCGTTGGAAGGAATTGGAGGAGGATTGGAGGGAAGATTAGGAAGGAATTGAGAGGGATTGGAGGCGATTAGGAACGAAATGTAAGGGATTAGGAGGGATTGGGTGGGTGCTTGTGAATGGGTTGGAAGATTTTTAGGTAGTGATTGGGAGTTTGACCCTCTCTCTCTCTTCTCTCTCTCTCTCTCTCTCTCTCTCTCTCTCTCTCTCTCGGCAACACAGGCTCCTTAACATACAATACAATGTTGCCATAACAGAGGGTCGTGTTACCCTCGACCTGTTTCCTCAGGTGAAAATCATTCCCTCTGTTGTCTGCCTTTGCCACGACCGGGAGGAGAGGAGAGAGAGAGAGAAGGAGAGAAGAGGGAGGAGAGGAGGGAGAGAGGGAGAGGAGGGAGAGAGGGAGAGGAGAGGGAGAGGAGGGGAGAGAGGGAGGGAGAAGGAAGGGGAGAAGGGAGAGGAGATAGAAGGAGGAGGAGAGGGAGAGGAGAATGGGAGAATAAAGTGAAGCATAGGGAAGGAGAAAGGGAGGAAAGGAGAGGGAAAGATAAGAGAGAGAAGAAGGGAAAGAGGTGGAGAGGAGGCTTGGAATCTAACCTAACCTAACCACAACCTACTATGGGCCTGAGACAACTGCGGTCATCCTGGGAAAAAAATATATATATACAGTATATAAACTCCACCGTCAGGGCGAAGATTACCGAGAGCATTTTTCCCCAGGATTAACGATGCTCTCTTTGTTTCGCTTTTGTTTTCATTTTACGTCGGTTTCTCTTAGAGGTTTTTGAGGTGAAATTGAATTCTTTTGGTAGTGTGTGTGTGTGTGTGTGTGTGTGTGTGTGTGTGTGTGTGTGTGTGTGTGTGTGTGTGTGTGTGTATTACTATGTTAATCTTAGTTATCTCTTGTTGGCTCTGTTGTTGATTTTCGTAAGGTGAGAAAGATGGATTTTAAGGTACCTGTAGAGACGTTGTGGCAGGGAAGACCGTAAAGGAATAATAATGAATGAATGATAAATGGCAATGAAAGGAGGGAACGTGATAAGAATGAATAGATGAATAAAGAAACTTACGAATGATTGGATGAATGAACAACAGTGAATGAAGAAACAGTAATAAGAATGAAACGGAGTACAAACGTTTTATTTCTCTCTCTCTCTCTCTCTCTCTCTTTTCTCTCTCTCTCTCTCTCTCTCTCGTAATCAATAATATAGACAATAATTACATTACAGTGACCAAGACGTCAACTTTATACTGAACCCGAGCGAGGTGCCAACTGGTCGGTGCTATCCTAGTGACCTTGACCTTTGACCTCAGAAACATAAGGGCACAAAGGCTTATCATGGTGAGTATAACTGGTCGGTGCTATCCTAGTGACCTTGACCTTTGACCTCAGAAACATAAGGGCACAAAGGCTTATCATGGTGAGTAGTTTAAACCCATTAACTGTTTACGTTGTTGAGTTATGTCGTGGACAATCACTATTATCAAAGCTGTCACCTTGAAATTTAGGTAACATTATCGTTTCGGTCCTGTGCCCATTTTGCCAAGGTTAGACTCGTTCAAAACACATCAAAAACCACCGGAAAAACATCATTTCAAACTAACCTAACAACCCAGCATAACCCTACCTAAACATCGGAAAAAAACATCATTTCAACCTAACCTAACCTAACCTAACCCTAACCCAACTAGCATAACCTAACCTAAATTCGCTACATAACCGAAACGAT